AAAGCCATAATTGATGGTAAAGAAAAAGAGATTATATAATCTTAGAAAATAATGTCCTCAAACTTGACAAGATGATTGGGACCTGGAGAGGTCAAAACAGGTCTAAGGTGCTCATCAGTTTTCTGGTCTCCATCTTGAGCACACATAAATCCTGCCCATTTTATTCACTGGGCAGGAAGCAATTGCTTTTATATTCAAACAATATTATGGATTAATATTAAATTTTGCATATGTTTTACATAAATAATAAAATTCAAAAAATAATCACATGATTATGAGACGTTTACATCCCCAAAGCTCTCTGGATCCTTCTCTTCTATTATAAATACTTTGAAAGCACCAATTAAGAAGCATTGTACTGCACCATAAAGTCTAAAGGAGGGGAAAGAACTGGGGTAGAACTACTTAAGTTTTAAAACATAAAAAATTATTATATAAGAAACCTGACTTCGCAAAATACTATTGATATTTCTGGGTTTGATTTAATATATATGCGATCTCATAAATATATCTGTCATGAAGTACACATATATTATAACAGGTTTTTTGGTACTTATTGGGAAATTCACATTTAAAATCAGAATTGAGGCTGTCTTATTTGAAAATAAATTGAAAAAAACTTAATTTTTTTATATAATTGAGAGTGAGGGGAACAGCAGGCAAGAACAAGAAAATGGTCCAAAAAATTGAGGAAAAATTAAACTACTTCTCTTCATGCCAAGGGAAAAATATATCACAAGTTTGTTTTATTGGGCACCCAATTTATAGTACAGCAATCTGAGTGTATGAACTTGAGCTTTCATGGGTGAGTGCATCAATTAGTTTTTGAATTAGAGGATAGCATTACTCAATTAACTTTGAGACTAGCCCTTTCAAGAAACATATTTTTGCAATGGCACACGAAATTTCAATTCTGAAATGAGAATGTCAACTGTGAAACTAAATTTAAAATTTCAGTTGTTTTTTTCTATCAGGCCTTCCTACACTTACTACAGACTTGAATAGTATGAATACAAGAAGCACTTAAATTAAAAAAAATGTGTGCATTCCAGATTTATTGGCAAGTCTTATCGCTTTAATTACTTGGAGCCTGTCAAAATACAGGCTGATGCACATAAGTAAGCCTGCATGCCACATTATCAGAGCTTTGCCCTCAGTCAGTGAAGGTCAGTGTTTACCCTGTGGGGTAGAAGAAGATGAAAACCCTGTCCTACACTAGGCAGCACCCCCACGGTGCTCACTATACTGCCCCTCAGCCAGCAAGCTCATTTGAAGATGGAACTGCAAGGTGAAATTAGACAGAAGGAAGATCTGAACATTTATAATAGACCATGTAAATACCGCCACACACATATTATACACATGCACACCCCTCACATGTTTTATCAGTCCTCCTTAGTGGTTAGCACCTTAGTAAATTTTGCCTCTGCTGACACTTCTATGGTCAACCTGTCAACCAAAAAGTTCTGCTTAATGTTAAATTCTGTTTTAAACAGAGAGGGCCCATCTATCACATGGCTTAGGAAGTCAGCTAATACATACCAGAAGCACTTTCCAATTTAAGGGTGTTAATTTATTGATGACAGTAACATATTTCTGGCTATTTTTCCAAGATTGAACATAAGCCACAAAAAAAGGATCATTATAATCATCAGTAGCCAAGCTGTAATTGACATTAACCAGACTTTGAGTTCAAGAAAGAGAGAAAAATGTGGGGTGTATGTGTGTGTGCGCACGCAAGCACATTGATGGTATGCTGAGTAAAGATAAAGTTTTTTTTTTATCTTATAAACTTTCTGACTTTTGTGAAAACCAAAATGCCCACTTGAATATATCTTTGATTATACATGTTCATCAGAGAACTTCTAAATTAAAATAAGCATACTTGGAAACATTATACTAATACAAGTTAGTAGTTGAGCATTTGCTATGTGCCAAAACAGTTGTATAGAATTCATTTGATCCTAATAACTGACATAGGCACTACTATATGCTTTTTATAACTGAAGAAATTGAGAAGTAACTTGCCACAAGTTGCCAAATTCAAACAGTTAATAAAGCATAAAACTTTAAGTCAAATACCATGTGATTCTAGAGCTCATGTTATTGATGACAGTTATTCAACTAACTATTAATTAGAAAATGGACAATATGGTCTTATAATCCCCAAATACCAATTTGGAACTTAGTATGGGGAAAAGAGGAGGGGGACAAGTAAGACTTGAAGCCTTGGAAACAATTCTCACAGATCCAAGTCAAATCAGAGATGCTCAGTTTCTACCAGTCCAAGATCTCAAGCTCGCTCTCTTAGGGATGCTTCCTACACCATTTGGGGAGAAATTAAATTGTGAGGGCCCAGGGGAAGATCATGGCCAATCTTGGGAGGCAGCTGAGTAACTAAGGAGTTGCAGTACATTGCAACAGGAATAATTTCTTGCAGACTTAAAAATGCAAACATTACTTATGAGACTGATATAGCTAGCCTCTACAGTAGAAAAGTGACAGTGTGGGACAATGACTAGGCAGAGACAAGATAGAGCCATATTACAAACAAATAAAAATAAACATGATGGTACTGCTACCATCTATTTTCAAAATTGATAGGTATGAAATAGTCTGAGGTTGTTGGCACTGAACTATAGGAAAAGTTTTCTCCCATGTGCGAGTCAAACTGGTGGTATTTTTCAAATGTGAGGTGTGGTGACAGGTCTCAAGCAAACAGCCTGATGTTGAAATAGGGAAACAAGGTCTCTACAGGTAGCAGACAAAAAAAGGCAATTGTTGAAGGTACGAAGTCTATTATTGTCATTTTCACCCAAATGAAAGTGATGAATGTATAAAAGGTGGACAGAGAAACCAGTCCAAAGAAGGTTCGTTTACTAAGAATCACAATTTTCGAGCTGGTAAAGGACTTGGCGAGCAATTTAAACCTAGCATTTTACATCAAATAAAACTAATCAGCAGAAGTTGTCTTCTGGGTGCAGGTATTATTTTTGGCTATGGTTGTGAGGAATCATCCAGAGAGATAGCTCATAGTGTAAGAAGACAAGAGGATGCGTGCAAAGACCCAGTTTCCTAAAGGTTGGCAGATGAAGAGCAGCCCATGAAGGCAGCTGTTAGGGGCAATAGAGAGGGAGCAGAAAGCCAAGGAGCAGGAAGCCATGCAGCTTGGGAAGGAAGAGAAGAGTGGTTGTGTTATACGGTAGAAAGAGGTCAAAGAAGATCAGACTAGAAAACGTTCATCAGTTTTGTTAAGTATTAACCAGGGGTGACTTTTTCAAGATTGCTATGTTTTAAATAATGAATTGGAGATGGTAAAAAGTTCACTTGAGAAAAAAACAAAGATAGCACAGTGGACAGAGTCATGCTCAGGGGAAACAGGTCAGGAGAGAATGACAGGAATAATTGAAACAATTCAGGGAAAGACAGAGAAGCTGGCGTCATAGCTCAGGCTTGATGGATCAGCCTTAATAGAGGGAGGTAGCACGTGCTCTCTGATGGGGAAGATGGGAAAGGAATGGGTATACACAGCATTAAGTGGTTCTTCCAGCTGATTTATATTTTTAAACCATGTGGAGTTTATTTTAATAGGTGATATGAGGCTTTTAAAAAAAATCCCTTTCCCTTACTGTTTATGGTATGTGTGGAATGAACAAATAATACACGGCCAGCCCGGGGCCCAGCCCTTCATTCACAAGAACTTAGACAAGCTGTAGTTGGTAGCACAGGCATGTCCCATGCTCCTGTCGACAGCTACAGAAGCCAGGTTCTCACACCATTAGGAAACGTTGAGATTAAGAGGAAGGGGTTTAACTATCTTCAATCTTGTGAATGCTGGCAGTTTCTTAGCCTTGCCAACTATTTTCCTAGCTCGGATTCTGCCAGGGGCGAAAGCAAATAGCAAGTAGAAGAAAAGCATGATGGAAGCAAAAGCTCATGAGAAAATTAAAAGAAAAATAGAGAGTAAGAGTTATAATAGGGAAGATGACCGCTGAAAATAACGAGAGAGTCGGTCAGGAAAGAGAAGTCAGTCAGTCACGGAACTGAAATATGCTTATGTGTGTGTGTGTGTGCACTTGAGATCATGTGGATTACCTGCTGCATTGGATTACCAGTTCATTTCCAAATGGGTTTCCCTCTACAAACATGCACTCACTAGATCCCTGTTTGAGTCCTTTCCTGAGATCCAGAAACACTGTGTGCAAAGTCAAATATGGCTCCTTCCTCCAATAAGACAGCAAGTCAGTCTCTGAGAAGCCATATTTTCCTGATATTTTAGCAACATTTCTGTTAGTATATTTTTATTATAAAATTTAAAACATTGTGTACAAATTGAATATCAGTTACATTTCTTGATTCCAACATTTCACCCGTAATCTTAAAGTTATGGAAACCTTTTCTCTGGTGGGGAATAAAAAAGCCTTTGAATTATTAATGCAAGCCAAAATTTACTAATTAAAATTCATACCAGAGCATTGGTAATGGTTGTCTCAGCGTCCTCCTCTAACTTAAAAGTGTTGGACCATAAGGTAATTTTGTTTCTCATAAATATATATTCATTCAACACCAGTTATTAAGTACTGAATACATCCTTGACATTACACTGTTTTCTGAGAATATCAAAATGAATGAGATAGAAAACTAACCCCTTAGGCTCTCACAGAGAGTAAAGAGCAAATATAATTTTCAATTTCCACAATCTGATTTTTTTGGAGTTCATTTAATATCCTCCCTCAGAATACCAAGAACTATGATATATCCATTTCTTTGTATATTATCAGCAAAACTACTTTATTATTAAGAAAAATGGTACATACATACAGTCATTTACACAACATAAGAATTACAGATAAAGAAAAAGAAATTCATATAAAAGAACAGCCAGTGAGAATATGAGAAATGCCTACCACCCACTTGTCCAATCATAAGAAGCAGTAGCAAATACACACATGCACGCACCCAAACACATATACACACAACAACCACAACAAGAGTCTTACCTGACTTGCCCACTCCTGCTCTCCCAAATACTGCCAGCTTGACCTCTGCACTTTTAGCCATGATGGGTGATGGTAGAACTTACTGTTGTTAAAACTAAAGAGCTGAGCAAATGTTTTTGGTCCCAGTCTCTGGATTCACTGTATCATTGTAAGTCTTGGAAGAATTCACAGTCCTTAGACAAAAGAGATTTGAAAATTCATAAGTGACTGGAAAATGAATTAATATTTATTAAATATCTACTCTATGCCAGTCACATTCACTTTACCAACATTTTCTAAATTTATCTTCATCCCCATCCTGTGAGAGTGCTATAGTAATCGACTTATAAGCTGCTCAACTAGTTAATGGTGGACTGAATTTGAATCCATTTGATCCAACATGTGCATTTACATACTCCATATCATTGTTTCTTGGCAGTCATTGATAATAAACACTTGAAGTATTGAATATGTGTGTTTGTCATCCAACTATAAGTATCCAGCACACAGATGGAGTCATCTTGGAGCTCTTTATTTCCCTTTGGTTTGAGTAACATTTATTTTATGAATAAATGATCAACTTCATTGCCACACGATTCAATTTTCCATTTCAGGGTTAAATTTTATCTCAGTTTACACCAGATCACATGGTCAAGTTGTATAAGAAATATATGTTTATGAAGTCAATAAAAATGCTCTGGTAAAGAAAGAAAGAGAGAAAGAAAGAGAAAGAAAGAAAGAAAGAGAGAGAGAGAGAGAAATAAAGAAAAGATAAATACCATGCTCCAAATTCTGAGTCCTTTTTTGTGGCACCCTTAAAAAATTAGTTCTAATATTGTCCTAACACTTGGCATGTGACATTGTATAGAGTGTAAGCACATTTTATATAGGTTGGTGCTTTGGAATACATCTAGGTTCTTACCACCAAGGACATGTAAACTTGGAAAGATCCTTGGGAGGACAGCCAAAGGGATCTTTTAGTCATTGCAAGAATCTGCATGTCCAGATAATCATCCTGTGCCTGATTTACTACTTTTAGCAATGGAAGGTGGGTTCATTACATCTAAAAACTGTTCCATTTCTAGTCAGTCCCTTCTAATTAGAACTATCTTTCTTCTACTGATCTCCAATCTGCTTTCTATCACTTCTTCTCACATGTCCTTACTTTTGTCTATGAAGTAGCTCAAAACAAGTCTATTTTTTTCTTTTCCTTGGAACTCTTCAAGTAGCCTAGCATCTGTTAGAATGCTTTGCCCCGTTCCAGGCTTCTACTTTCCAGCATGTTTATTCAGCTCTTTGTGGGATCTGCAGCATGGGATATTTCTTGTTTATAATATTTTGACTTTCACCTTCCCCTTTCACCATATGCACTATTCCCCTCTGGCTCTGGCTATTCAATCACTCCACTGTGGCCTCCACTATATTCACTACTTGACATGTGACCTGAGAAACTGACACAGCAAAAGTTCTCTGAGAGGTTTGCTCTCCATTATCTGCATGCCACAGTTGTGCAATAGCCCAGCTACTCACAGTAGGGCTCACATCTTTTACATGTATTGCAAACTTCCCCACTCAGAACTTCTGCAACCAATGATTTCAACACAAATACTAAACTTCAAGTTTGTCTGTGTTAAACTTGGTCACAACAGTCCACAATGTACCCATTTTCCAGTCTATAAATATACACTTGAAATAAATATGTGTTAACTTCTCCTTCCAGCATTTTTTCATCTACAACTTTTAAAAAGAACTGAAGAGAAAGAGAAAAAGTGGAAAATCCTTCTGAAAAACTATTTCCACAAACAACACAAAAATATTTTTTACATTATGCTCTGAAGCCATCAAGTTGTACCTAACAATTTTTGTATTTGCTGATTTCCAAAGTGCCAGAGCTTTCTCTGAGCAAAGCTATTAACATTAGCTATTGTTTACTTCATTTTCAAATGAAAAATCTTAGTAATCATTAATAGTACAAAACCCAAAAGCTTAAACATCTGCAATTTGTCCAGTCCCATACTTTTGGCTAAAGATAAAAGAATTTCTTTATTCGTCATTTTACATGTATTCATTAAGAAAAGGCCTCTGTTTTTCAGGTTCAGTGCTTCATCACAGAAGCAGAATATATTAAGAAATATTAACTATAAAAACTCTAGGTGAGAATAATTTCTGGTTAGCATTTCTTTGAAATATACAAGTGCCAAAAACTTGCATAAAAATAATTGAGTATTCCACACAAAAATGGCTTATTCTCATGTATATAAAAGACACATAATTGTCCATTTGATTAATGCTTCATAAATCCCATCAAACAAGTTTTTTTTTTAATGTCACATATTTCAGTAACTCCCAAATGGCCTCAGAGGCATAGGACTTTCACATATGAAAGAAAAATTATGTGGGTTATTTTTTTCCATTTATAACCTAATAAAGCTACAGCTGGTTATTATCAACCTTATGTATAGTTAGAACAAAAAAAAATCACTTTAAAGGAAGACACAAAACTGACATAGATTGTTCATTTTATTTCTCTCATGAAAATATGAAAAGTTACATTTGACAAGATAGAAAACAAAGATAAATGTATAAATTGTTGTAATAAAGAATCTGCTGCCAAGTTTCTGATGTTCAAATAGCTCATAATCTGAGCCCTTCCATAACATGGATCTAAGAAAACAGTTTTGTTTTTTTTCTCTAATGTTGTACAGAAATATTCTGACTATGGCTAGAAGTTGCCCTTCATTTCTTATGTGGATAGGTAGTGCTTTAGTAGGGACAAAACTTTCAATTCTTATCAGTCCTAAAGGTAAAGTCCTAACTATTCAAATTAAAGGTGTAGTCCCCCCCCCAACACAAATTAACAGAAAATTTAGAGAATATAAAGCAAAACCTAGCTCCAAATTCTGTATTATTACTAATGCGTTCATTGATCCATTTCACACTCACATTGAGCATATATAAACAAAAGCAGCTACTCTGGAGGTGCTCAGACTCTATTTAGACCTATGACATTAGTCACTAGAACCTTATTTATTTATTTATGAACAGGTTTCATTCCTTATAAACGATTCCCAAGACTATACTTACCAAGGTTCATGCTTTCTACTTCCTCTTCAGGGGCAGGGGGAGAGAAGGGGGAGCATCTTTATAATCATTTTTCTAACTAAATGCAGCTGTTTAAAGGGAGCAAAGAACCTAGTCCGGTCGTGGGAATGAGATTCTCCTCTCTTTGAGCCAATCCTTCTCTGGTTTTGAAATCAAGTTTTCCTGGTTCCATTACTAGGAATTTTCCCTTATCTTATCACCACGCAGCACCCACAGCAACAAGGATAATTGTGCAAGCCCCTTGGCTATGGCGTTACTCTGAAATCAACAGGTATCCTGCACTCATAGACAAGCTCCTTGTGGACCGAAGGTCACTGGCTTTCAAACTAGAGAGTAAATGTCACTTATATCAAAAGGACATTCCCAGTCTCAGCTCAGAGAGTGCTGTCAAGCCTGGGTGCTGGCGTTCACGTCTCTTACCGAACTCCAAAGACACCCTACAAAGACCCAGTGACTAGGAGAACTGACCCAGAGGCCGAGGGCTCAGGACTTAAAACGGGTCTGCAGGGAATCGTCCGAATGAGCAGCCTAGACACGTGCGTGACACTCACCTGTTCACACTCTCCAGGCCGGGAGAGCGGCGGTCCTTTGCAAGTTCGTAGTCGGTCCCCTAAGACCGCGAGGCCCTCCCGCGCTGACCCGCCCAGGCTGCAGGCTGCGTTTCGGACTTGCCAAGCTGCGATCGCGGGTGGAAGAAGCAACAGTAGCAAGTGTGGGTGGCCAGGCAGCGGGGGTCGCCTGCCTAGCGCTTGCTGGGACTAGCGGCGGAGAGACTGCGGCAGGACGCGAGCACTGCCCGGCTGAGGCCGCTGCGCTCCACGGCCAGGATGCTGCAGTGAGGCGCTTTGGCGCCCCCTGCTGGGGCCTGTGGCTGGCTCCTCCCGCACTGCTGCCTCCCGAGCTTGACAGCCTGAGATGCCGCCTTTAAAGTACTGCACCCAAGGCTGGCTTCTCTCCTTTGCTCAGTTCCAGGCCTCCAGGCTCTGGCAGACCGACTTTCCTGAATTAAAACCTTGAGTATGAAAGCGTCACTACGTGGTGTTTTCTATTCCTTTCTTCAAATGATTTTCACAATATTTCTTGGAAATATACTTACTAATCCCCATAATATCTAAAGGAGAAGATTAAAAGAAGAAAAAGAAAAGAAAAAAAAAATTAGTCAAAGGCTAGTAAATGACTGGAAGAAAATCCAGGCTGGGTTGGGAGCTGAGAGATGCATGGAAAGACATAAATGATGAATTCAACAGAAATTCATATTTCTATATCTAAGAAAGTTCCAAAGCTTTCCACCATCCATACTAGACCAGTGTTATAAGATTTGTCTTGGAGTCATACCCCACCATGCTGAAAACCTAACAAAGAAGTAATATGCTATCTTAGACCTGTTTTTGCATTCTTCACCTCATTTAATATTTACAGCCTCCCTTGAGGTAAGCACTAGTATTGTAGTTGCTAGCTCTTCACAGATGAGAAGGGGGACTTAGCTTCAGAGAGGTTAAATAATTTCCCAAAGATGATGAAATTTGTAAACAAAGGAGCAAGAAACACCTATGTTGCCGGTTTTTGTTGTTATTGTCATTTTGTTTTGTTTGTTTTTATCATTCCAAATGTGAGCATTCTTACCAAGGTACCAGGTGGCTTCCAGAAAACTACTGCAGTATGAGCAGACAGGGACCCAAGGCTAAGTGAACAATCTAAAGAATGTCAATGATGGAAGGGAGGTAACTATGGAGGCAGTTTCCAAGGTTGGTACTGCCTGGAAAAACCACTGCAGCCCCAAGCTGGGTACCAGGTTGAATTAAGTGGCTGGATGTGTGCTAGAAGTAGGGATTGTCTAGTTGAGCAAGGATTTCTCTGAAAGTTCAAACATCACTCCTCTATGAGTTTCCTGATTCCTAGCTTACCCCCAGCATTTTCTGTAGTGCCTGGCATATAGTGGGTATTCAAAAAAGTAATTGTTTGATGAATGAAAAGAATGAGTTTGTAGCAGGATACATGTGAATTGTTTATGGGCTGAATTTGGGACAGAATATCCAGTAAGAATTGAATAGATGGGTCTAAAATTTGAGAGATAGATATTTTAAGTGTCTCAGGGCACACTAGATCTTTGAACCCTGAAATGGAAAAACAATTGCCCATGCAGGTTATATAGAATTTTATAGAATTTCAATTGCATGGAATTTTGTGGTGTTAATGTGTTCAAGATTCACCTTTATCTTCTTCCCACATTGAATCTTGTATTCAGAACAGTATTTAATAAAAATATTCATGAATATACATATACTGCATATAATATCTATATATTAACAGTAATAATAATCAATACTATGGTTGATTATTTCCAAGGAAGGTTAGTTTTGAATATATTCTATATACTATATGCAATTTAACACATTTAAATATTTAATATATTAAATATACATTTATGTATAATATATTATGCATACTGTATATCCTATACACAATTTAAATATATATATACATATATATACACATATGTTTATAATTTTACAATGACTTAAGTTGAGATTTCCATTTTCCACTCTTTTTTTATTAATCCCATTTTTAAATTTTTTAATTTGTTTTAATTATACATGACAGTAGTTCTACTCATTATTATTAACTAATGTCTATAATTTTAAGATTTATTCTTTGTGTTGTATAATTCTACGGGTTTTAACAAATCCATAATGTCTTATAGCCACCATTATAGTATTTTTTTAATTTTAATTTGTTATATATGACAACAGAATGCATTACAATTCATGTATATGTGTGTATTTTTTTTTTTTTGATGGTACTAGGGATTGAACCCAGGGCCTTGTGCATGCTAGGCAAGCACTCTACCAACTGAGCTATATCCCCAGCCCTCTCACCACTCTTATCTAAGAGATAATTATTGAAAAAGGCCCAAGTCAGGTTCTATTTGAACAGTTGTCAGGAAATCTTGTTTCTCTTCATTTTCATGCTTAACCCATATATGCCAGGGCTCCTGTCTCCACCAGAGAGGCATTGTCATGCATACCTGCAGTTCTTGCACTGAGAAAGATCAAGTTGCTATATTGCAGCATGACACACATTATATTTTCTCTTCTATATGTGTTCTATATTTCATGGAACTGCTCCTTTATCTCAAAAGCAGCAAAAAGCAGCGAACTCCTTGGCATCACCTGCCCCATGGATCAGTAAAAAGGGCAGAGTACACTTCATACTTATGATTTCATAATGTATGCCTACTGGGGAGAGATCTTGTCAGTCTCTTCACTTCAAGCTTATGCTAAAATTTCTAACACAAAGTAGTAGATGGAGAGGGAGTAAATCCCAAAACACATTAGAAAACTGAAACTGTGTGTGACTGTATGGGTGTGTATAGAAGATAATCATATTCATTATAAACACTTCAAACAGGAGGAAAAAAAACACAAAGTAGAAAATCATCCCCCACAAATCACACTATCCAGAGCCCATCATTAACATAAGGGGTAGCATCATTCTAGACAATGTAGGACATAAACATATTAACAGATAGTTAAATGTCATACAGATATGGTAAGTGCTATTATACTGCAAATGCCATTTTTAATTTTAAAATACACTTAGCTAAGCAGGAGATAGAGAAATTAAAATGAATCTTTAAAAACAATGGCTGAAATTCAGCTGTGTACTCATCTCATGAGATAATTCATCCTAATGATTTTTCAAGGCAAAATTATTACATAAAACCGGATCTGAATTCATTATGCTTAAACACATATTTGTTTTACTCAGTATCAAAGGACTTCTTGCTATTTAAAAGAGGAAATTATATTTCTTATTATGCTTCTGACTTTTTCTTACCTCCTCTGTATTTTCACTTAGGTACTATTTGCTCATTGTCAAGATTTACAACATTTGCATTTCATTTAAAATTCTCCTACCCAAAGTAATTTAAATTTAGTCTTCTACTTAACTGGAACAGATTCATTTAATTAATTCTTCTACCATGGCTTTTCTATTATTGGTGCTTTATTATGATTCATCCCTGGATTTCCTCATGAAATTGTGCTTTCAAGAAGGCTCTGCTGTATACTTTAGAATACCTGTCTCTTTCCTTCTTATTGTTTTAAATTTATTTTGCAATTAGCTTACTTCTCGTACAATTATCCTTTCCTCCTTTTTTATGCATAGCATGTTTTCGTATTATTATGTGATTTCTTTTTTGAAATCATATTTACAATGATATATATTATATGAATTCTGCACGGTTCCATTCCTACCTTGCCTGAGACCTGTGCATTTTCTCCATGAAGTGATATTTTGAAGGTAAGCATTGCATTCTGCCTGCTGTCTTGTGAGATGAGAAGATACAGGATACAGGTCATCTGAATCTCTGTGCAGCCTCTTTTATAGGTTACATGCTCTGCTTTCCCTCTGAAGTTGTACCACAGACCTTGCCTGGAATTTAGAACAAATAGTCAGGGTCAGTTACTGTAAGGACCACAAAGGAAAGATTTCCTCAGGTCTGAGGTTGCTTCCCCATTCATTCTTGGAGCCTTTTACTTTCAGCCATTCCTGTTGTAACTACTCACCATTGCCTCTCCTTCAGTTGGAAAAACGATAACATAGTTGCTTGGTTCACATGACTCCAGATATGGAGGCATTCTCAGTTGGTGAGGAAGAATATTCAATATTTGATTAGACATTAGTACTACTTCTGGAAAACAGGGATGTCTACACTATGGTTGATTATTTCCAAAGATTAGTTTTAAAGTTTTATGGCCAAAAAAGGCACCTTTTTTCTTATTTTGTTGCTGTTAATGTTATTTGTTGCTGTTGGGTGGGTATTTATGGTTGTTATTGTTTATTTAGTTAGATATTAGGCAAGTCTTGTTTTACCTATTATTGGACTTCCTGCTTACTGGGACTAACTATAAAACATAATCAAAATACCAAAAATAGTCTTTTGGAAGCATTAAAAAACCACCAAGGCAGAGCTACAAGCCCTGATGGAATGTACTTAAGTTAGCACAACATACACCCAAATTTTCTCTTTGGGGGCATCACCCACGAAGGTAGATACCAAATAACGGTAAAAGATTACAACTAAGGGCTTCTAAGATAGCTGGGTTCAGAAGGTAAAAATGGCAGAAAGGATAGTCACAGAAACCCCCATATATTTTCAGGAAAATGCATCTGAACTTTGCCAAATTTCCAGGCAGCATGTTGTATAATAAGTCTCTGGGACACCTAATAGAACAGCAGCTGTCTGGAGTCTGAAAGTTAGATTGTTCCAGAGATCTTGGAAGGCTGGAAAGACAGTGGAGTTGGAGCGTAGCCAGTGCTTGGAAAACTTTGTAAACATCCTGGGCATTTGACTGTAACTGCAAAAAGACCACGTTCTAAGAATGAGGGCCATGCCTTAGGAATAAGGGTTATGCCCTAGGATTAAGCGTAAATCCTAAACATATTCCTCATCCAACATAGAGACTAAAATAAGACCTTGAACACTCTAATCCACCAGCAAATTATCTGCCTGTCAAAGCAATACTCAACACTCTTGAAAAAGATAACATGATCCAGAGTATCTATAACTATCATTTATGATATCAAGTACACTGTAATAGTCTGCTGAGGCTGCCATAATAAAATGCCATAGGATGGATGGCTTCTGGAAGCTAAGAAGTCCAAAATTAAGGTGCTGACAAAGTCGGTTACATCCTGAGGCATTTTTCTCTTGTTTGTAGGTAGCTTTAATTTTATTCTGTGCTCCCAGTACAACTCTTTTTGTGAGAGTCCAG